GGCGGGCGGGGCGCCGACGGCCGGGACCCCGGCGGCTTCAGGGCGGACCTGCCCACCGAGCCGCCCGATGAGCCGTCTGAGGGAGGCGGGGCCGCAAATATCAACGTCAGGCGACACAAATACGTCAACCGGATACCTACTTTGTCTGGGCGGGACCGACAATATTCTACTTCCTGTTGGACTAAAAAAACTGTCACAATAATAATAAGAATAAGTAGTAATAATCAACGCTCTCCCATATGACATAAACAAGTACGCGACACAAAAGGATGAATGGAAAATGTACAAAGTGTGTGTATTTGAATGAAGTGTTTTTGTTCATTTTGACCTCCAGCTGGTCGTAGCTTCGGCACGCCTCCTTGGAAAAGCCCCCCCATTCCCATTGGACCTCCTCCTCCTCCTCCTCCTCCTCCAGATTCTGTAAAAAGACAACATCAATGCATCATTGCTCAGATGCGCTGCTTACTGTGATGATGACATTTTTTTTTTTTTTTTTTGTGTCTTAACCCAAAAAAAGGTTAAAAGGTCAACAAGACATCGATTGCGGATTCGGGCTACGAGTGCGGCGAGCAGACTCGCGGTGGTTGGCGCGAGCCACAAAAGAAAGTCTAAAATCGGTGACGGACAGACTTCGGGACAGATTGCTGCTCACTCTCGATGACGGGGGCGCTGCGGTCGTTGACCACGCCCACTTTCTTCAGCCTGGCTCCCTTGTGGATGTCGGACAGCAGGGCTCCCCTGCCTTTGTCCTCGGACGAGCTCAGCTTGGGAGGGGACCGGGAGGGGGCGGAGGAGGGGGCGGGGGCATCCTGTCCCTCTGGTGGCACGCACTTGGGACTTTTTTTTTTTTTTGTCTTCTTGAAGGACGCCGCACCCCTTCAGCGCTTCCGCTGATGAGATGTGCTCCCACTCCTACATCAAAATACATGCGGGACATGACACACCGAAGCCGAACAATGAAATTGATTTTGCGGGCCCCGGCAAATAAGTTCTGCCTGTAACATGTGACACGGCTGTGCGCGCGCAGACCGGCTGACTCAGGTCAAGTCTCCGCATCTCCCCAAACAGGTTTTTTTTTTTTTCTCTTCTCGCTGCTCGCTGTGGAATCCGGCCCGGCGAGCTGGCGACTACACCGAGACGCACTCTCGCTCAAGCAGAACCTTGGTTAGACGAGTCAGGAGAGGAAGTGGGACTTGCTGGACGCTTTTGAGGTTTTGTGACCAAAATTATTGCGCACCTGAAATCAACTGTGGTCATTTGTCAAACTGACCTGACTGGATGGACCCTGCGCCAGAACCAATAATTTGTTTCAAAAATAAATTTACATTTAAAAATACTTTTTTTTTTTCAAGGCAATTAAAAAAAAAAAATCAATTCAAAGTGTGACCTAAATTTGTCCAATGGAAAAAAAAAAAAGGACAATTTAACGCTCAACTCGTAAACATCTGCAGTCAAACCTAAAGCAAAATTTGACAGTCCCCTGCTCAAGTGGGCGGAGCCGTGCCACATCACTTCCTGTCTCTTGAACTGCTCAGTCAAAATGTCCTTTTTTTTTTTTTTTTTGACCTTCCAAAATGGACAGTTGGAACACGCTTAATCCAAATTGTCTCCGAAAAGCCCCTTTTAAAACATCCTTTCATATGATTTAGACGTGCAACAATTCAATCCGTCGACACCTCGCCGATTCACGAACCGACGGCGATTCGGAGCATCAATTCATCGTTTGGAGATCCTGTTGAACTTACAACTGTCCAAATCCAACGATAATTTCCGCCTGTCAGTTGGTTAATATTTTTCTATAAATACAATTGAATTGAATTGAATTTTCAACCATTCGTTGAATGGGACCAACAGTCAAACATGCACGATAAATGAAAACAATCGGTAGGAACTGCTATAGGCCGCTGCTCGTGCCCCGATGCTCACACGCAGACTAACCGGCCAGCCGGCTCCACCACGTCACTCACCAGGCCACGCCCCTTACAGGCGAATGTTCAACACACAAATATTCCTGTACGTACTGGGGCTCGACCAATATGGGTATTTTTGAGAGCGATGCCAATTCCGAAAATTGGCAGAGCAAAGTTTCAATCAAATCAACACGAGTGACACAAATTATTTTCGAGACTAACGGTCACTTAATTTCGCAATCGCTTTGTGGTAATTTCGCTCTATTTAAAACAGGAACCGCAAGATTTGTCGTGATCGGGGAGGGGGGGGGCTGTTAACGTATCAAGAACTCAAGTTTGGTCACCAAACAAGGTATAGCTGCACTTCTTCATCTGTTTCATGGAGCGATGTTGACACGAGCCAATGAGCCTGGTTAGTCGCCCCCTGCAGGCAGGCCAAGAGACGGCAGGGATCACAGACACGCGGAAGTTGTTCTTTCAACACGTTCGACCAACCGGCCGCCCTTTCGCCACGATTGTGTCCCTCATGGCCTCGCTGAAGATCAAAAAAAAAAACACGCCCAAAGAAAGTCTTTGCGTCGACGGTTGAGGGGTGCGAATGGCCGAGGTTCTGTGGAAGGCCTAAGTCGTGCCAAAGTGTCGCCAAGGACAAAAAGTGGCAACTGTTGTATTGTTGACGCCAAATCGCGGTAGAAGAGCAAATGTTTCCCATAAAAAAAATGTTCTACTTTTATTGCGGGATTTCAAAATGTTTTTACCAGGTTCAACTCCGCCGAGGTAGGACGAGCCAGTCCCGGCGCCTAGTTTTAACGTCAGCTGTTATTCGAAAAGTAAAGAGTTAGCTCCAGGTTTACTCACCCAAACTCGACGGAGAGGCGGTAAGGCGACGTCGCCCAAAACAACATGAATGGGGGGGGTTTGGGGGGAGTATCGTTGAAGTAAATCCTTCCTTCGGTAGTAGGCGGAGGTTCAAATGTTAAAAGACAACGAAAAAAAAAAAAAAACACAACACACACCTCGACCAGCGAACCAGGTTAGCCGGGTAACGACGCCCCGCTAAGCTTCGCGCTCCACGGCCAGAAGCGGTTAGCCCGAGGGGCTAATCGTCCGTAATAGTCTACGGTGGCAGCTATAGCAGGTTAGCCTCGAAGCTAACGTGCTAAAGTGAAGCCAACCGCTTAGCATGTAGCTGTTTACTTTCAGTTGTCAGCGGCCAGCGGCGACAAAATTAGGCGACGGCTCGTCGTTTTCCTCCTTTTCGGAGGCGGCGATGGATCCCCACCGTTGCGGAGAGACCTTTCGATAGTTTGTCTTTGAAGTTGAAACTTTTTAAGCGCACCGCTAACGGCTTCGCGCAGCCATCCCGTTTTGCCGTTTGGGCTAAGGCGCTTTCTTTCTCACGCAGCAGACTTCTTTATCAGGAAGCCCGGAAACGAAGCCAAGCAAGCCACAAAATGGAGGGAGGTAGCTCTGCCGGCGGTGCGTTCAAAGGCCGCGGACACTGGAGCGTCTGTTACTGCTGCAATATGCATGTTGCTGAAACGTGATTTAAATGGCATTTTAGTACGATAGCAACATTGCAATGGGGTGAACTGTGACCCATTATCAATTCAAATTATGTTAATTACGTCAGTTGTGACAAATTTACGACATACTAAAACACGCCTGTTTTAAGTCGGCCGCTTGACAAAATAACACCAAACACAATTTAAACGCATCAAAGCCACATCCAGATTATACGGATAATGTATCTTTCACATAGATTGGGAAGTTAGCAATGTTAATTCACCAATCCATATAAAACACGGTGAACGTAGCCGCTCGTTCGGACGAGTGTGGGCGACGCATGCGCAGTTTCAACCAATTTATGGACAGAAATCCTATTCTGCCCCAAAGATGCTCAACAAAAGGCTTTCCGAGTCCACCGATGACATCCTTTTTTTGTGAGACTAGTTAATATGATATGTCAATTAAATGGTATTTAGGTATTTGTGGCACTTTATTTGGCGAAATTGACGGATTTTTTTTTTTGTGAACATACGTCGAACCAACTTGAGCGACAGGTGCGATCGATTTGCGGCGCATTTACGACAGAAGGCATTTGGGCAAAACACAACCAAACACTTTTGGAGCGCAAACTCGGGCAGATCCATATTATATGGATGATAAAGTATGAATGGGAATGTATTTATAAACATCACTAACTTACTTCACTGACACAAAAAGAAAACACGGTGAACATCGCCACCCCCCCGCCAATCCTCTTTTGGAGAACATCTCCGGTCGACACACTTTCCGGTAAAGATGGCGCTGATGGCGACCCTGCGGAGGACATGGCGTCTGTTGACATCGGGACCCTGGGTCATTACTCCCGCCGCCGCCTGCTCACAGAGCTCCGTTAGTGGCCACTTGGTGCCTCTGACCTCGCTGTCCAGACCTCCGTGGCCGGAGACTAGGCCGGTGCCGGAGGAGGAGCAGCGGCGGCAGCACGCCGCCCTGACGAGCGCCGTCAACCGTCTGATCGAGCAAGACGACTTCGGCCGCCTCTTCGCCGTCGTGCACTTCGCTGGCCGCCAGTGGAAGGTGATTTGGGGACAAATACTAAAGATTAAAAATGAGAAAATTCGTGGAACAAATATTTGAATTCCGCATTCTAGTGCCCTAGGAACTATTTTGATAAAAGCAGTTCTTTGCTGCAATCTTGTGGTCTGTTTGGTGCCAAGGTACTATGGTGAGGTGAGTTCAGAAATTTATTTTCGACAAAAGCAGAACTCATCACTATTTTGTGAGATGTGGGTGCAGAGGAACAATTCGAAGAAACTGAATGTGCTGCCAAAGATCTATGTTGAGGTGAGTTGGGGAGCATTATATCGGCGCGAGTGGTGCCGTGTTGTCCTGTGTAATTTAGTTTCCAAGGAACTATGTTGAGGTGACTTTCACAAAGACAAAAGTAGCACTCCGCCCCAAGTGACAAGTCGGGCTTCGGTCCGTCCCGCAGGTGACGGACGAGGACCTGATCCTGCTGGAGAACCACGTGGAGGCGGCGTGCGGCGATCGCCTGCGTCTGGAGAAGGTGCTGCTGGTGGGGGCGCGCCACTTCACCCTGGTGGGCCGGCCGCTGCTGGCCAAGGAGCTGGTGCGCGTGGAAGCCACCGTGCTGGAGAAGACGCAGTCGTGGCCCAAAGTGCACATGCGCTTCTGGAAGCGCCACCGCTTCCAGCGCAAGAAAATCATCGTGCAGCCGCAGACCGTGCTCAGAATCAACAGTGTGCGGCTGGCGCCGGCGCTCACGTGACAAGCAACCGCCGCCCCCAAAAATATATATTTTTTTTATAAGGTTATTTACCTGACACCATTCAACAGATTAATTGATCATGAACTCATTCACTCCCAAAGACGTTTTTAAACGTCTTTTCAGACTTGGTCCAGAATTGGCTGGTACTGAATGAGTTTTAAAAGCATTTGTTGAAGAGCTAATATGATAAAAAAAAAAAACTAACGTGCAAGAGAAAAAACTATGGCAGATGTGGAAACTGCCCAAAAAATAAAAAATAAAATCGACCGCAAGTGTTTTTCAATTTTATTGAAGAAAAGGTCCTATTGGAAAAGGGCCAAAGCGAGCCCAGGTGGACGTGACGCCACCAAGGGGGCACTAACGTGTTAACAGGCGACGCCCAACCTGACCGTGACATCGACGTCACGCCTTCACATGTGTGCGACATTGACGTTCAGACAGATGAAACGAGCAAGCGGAAAGGAAGCTAAAACGTGAGGGATGGGCTTTGCGATTGGGCCTCCAGTTGTTGTTTCGAACGCTTTGCACCAGTGCATTTTCCGTAAGTTTTGTGGGGATTTTTTTGTTGAGCATCGTTTTTGGTGTGTGTGGGCTTGTCTCCGATGCGCCCACTCGGGCGGGACCAGAGACCGCGCGACTGGTTTCAAAAGAGAATTTCCACAATGATTTCTATAAGTCTGATGAGATTGGTCCAGAACATGGAGTCCTCGTCATCAAAGTCTCGGCGGTCGGCGGCGTCCGCCTCCGTTTTGCGGGCGTCGTCGGCCGGGGCGCCCGCGGCAAAGGGGTCCGACGGAGCCACGGGGTCGCGATAGACCCTCATCTCAAAGTCACTGCGGCGGTGCGACGGGTGCCCGTAGACGGCGACGCCCACAGGCCGCGCGAACTCGGCGGGCACGACCACGGCGTCGCGCCCGCAGGTGGCCGACTGCAGCTTGTAGGCGTCGAAACTGGGCCTCAGCGTGGCGTCCGACACGTACAGGTCGGCATCGCCCGTCACGCTCGACATCTGCAGGACCACGGCGCCGTCGTGGTTGAGCCGCAGGTAGCTGTAGTTGCCGGCGCCCACCTGGCCCCGCACCACGTGGAGCAGGACCCACTCGGCGGGGATGCCGGCCGCGCCGTCCTCCGGCCGGCACGGCGGGCAGCGGAGCAGCAGCAGCGGCAGGACAACGATGGCGGCGAAGCGAGGCGGCGTCATTGCGACTGGGGGGGGGGGGGTCACTACCTCGGGGATTTTCGTTTCTCAAATCTCAAAATCCCAAATCTCAAATCTCGCGGGCCAAAATCACCCGCGAGATTTGGGATTCCTGCAGCAGTCTTTCGAAAATCGCATAAACAAACATACATAAACCGATTCAATAAAAAACGATCACACCTAAAAATTTATTTATCAGCGTTTTTGGAACACTTTGTGTTGTCAAAAGTGGGCGTCAATTCCAACGCGGATTTTGGTCCGTGTACCCCGCGAAGGGAGGAGGTCGAGTGTCAATGACTTCATCTTTCCAACTTGAGGACAGTTTTTTTTTTTACCGCGTTTGCCATGTTCTCGCAAACATTAATTTGTTTTCGTAGCGAAACACACACTTGATCAACGCTCCCGACGAGTTTTGTTTGCGGAGACAAAAAATGGATTTGTTGGCCTTAGTTAGCTACTTAGCAGTTAGCCGCCAAGTAGCGACGGGTTCCCATTTCGCTCAAGGCGAGAGTGAAAACGACTGCAAAACGCCACCGAAACCATAAGACACGCGAAAAGAGGGCGGGTTGGGGGGTTGGTTGGGGGGCAAAGAAAGACACGTCAGTTATTAACGACATTGTTTTGGGCCAACACGCTTCTCTCGACACTTACGCGGCTGACAGTTGCTCCTCATTTTGTTTCTTCTTGCGCACAACAACCTGCTCGGCAAAGTTGCTCTTCTTCGCCGCATCGCCACCGCCACGAAAAAAAAAAAAAAAACACAACGGCGCCCCCCAAAGCCCCAAAAAAAA